TTATTTGGCTTGTAATATGGGTGGTTTCTTGCCAACTGCCTTACAACTCAGGGATGTGCAATTAAAAAAAATCAAGTACTAGCCCACAGGCTTGTAACAGCAATAAAGTTACTAGCCCGAAGTTAAAAGTGAGCAGTCCAAATATAGGGGCAAAAATTGGTAAAAACAAATATAAAAAATTCATTGTTGAGAAAGTCAGGGTCCTAAGTCATTCCTTTAAAAGTTGAAGTTTAAAAATTTTAGGAAATTATATTATCTCTTCTTTTCTGAACATATTGTAATAGTGTAGCTTATCTAAAATGAAGCAAAATCATTTTATTTTCATTTCAAACAATTAAATACAATTGATATACATTAAAGTTTAACCACATAACACTTGGCATTAGTTGATTGGGGGACTGTAAATAATGGAAAGAGATATCGGCATGTATTTACCATTTAACAGAGGAATGGAGGAAATTCGAATTAGGAAAAAACGATCTTTTTTTGAAGTAAATAAGTTAGGTAGTACTTAAAAATGGATAAGCAGAGCTGCCAACATTCTAAAATGAAAAATAGTAAGGCGGGGTCTAGGGACCACCTAGGCCCCCTGCTGCTGAAGATTTTTTTGCAAATAGACATGTAATCTGAGGCATGTTTCCATCGTTTTACTCTAAAACATTGACATGAATGTGATCGGCCATCTAAAACCGAAACGATGATACAAGCAATTAAGAATTATGAATATATTATAATAGTAGAAACTATAGACTGCCAGCTATGAAAATACCGGTATTATAAACTTTGAACGAGAAAAACCTGAAATCGGAATAATATACAGAGAAATCGTAAGGCGTATTTTAGACGCTGATTTCGTACACCTTACGCCAAAATCGTAAGGGTTGGCAGCTCTGGATAAGGTAACAGTAATTTAAGAACAGTTGGAGCATGCTGCCTGGAAAATTTACATTAGTTGGCAATTAAATAGCAAAACAATGAGTGAAAATAACGTTTGTATTTCTCATGTATTATATGCATAATTTTAATTTTTACTACCCAAAAAACGGTAGCACCGGGCATCAGGCGATGCTAGTTGCACACCCCTGCAACTGCCACGCAATAGTAAGCAAATTGCAACAAACTCTTTGGTGTAGAAATTGAACTCTCTGGTTTTGTTTCTGTACTTTCAATTTCGATTTCAAAGATGAATGTAAAAGTAAAACTGACAGGCCAGTAACTTCCGGATTTTTACGACGAAAAAAAGTTTGGGTCGCCGATTAAAATTAGGGTCGGTCGGGTAACCGTAAACAAACAGAATTTTTTTGTTATGCCTAAGTATGACTTAAGGACTTACCTCCTCAGGTCCTCAGAAGACGTATCTCCGGTCGGAAGCTTCAGGTACAACACAAACTTCTCCACGTCCGACAAATTCTTTATTTCTCCCTACAACAGCATCTATCTATAACTCATCCAGTAAAACTACGATAACTTTAAAATCATTTGACATGAAAGAAACACAGATCGAAGAAAATATTGATACTTTACCAGAAGTCTGTCAATTTTTCCTTTTGCTTCAATACTGAAATAGAAATTACAACCACTACAATAATAATCATTAATGTTGATAATTTCATCAAATCTATACTCTAAACAGTGTAGACTTCAGTTCATGTAATATCTGAGTCAGTATAGTGTTCTCCAAAAAGAATAATATAAATCATTAAAGGTACTTAGACACAGATTTGAAATTGATATTTTCTCTATAATATTACGACTTATATATTTTAATAGCATTTCACACAAAAATTAATTAAAAATCTTATTTCATTTAAAAGTTGTTAAAACTTAAAAATTCTTGGCGGGTTTGATTGACACATCCTTTCACTTTCACAGATCTTAACATCATTCTTAATCCTTAGGAAAAGTGGCAATCCTGATGTGTATTAATGAAAAATATTTATACTACTAGAGCCGAGCTCGTTGCAAAGCAACGAGTAGGTCTTCCGTCGGAGCTGCGGACAAGGAGAAATGACCTTGGGTCAAGGTCATGCCATATTCTACTGTTAAAGCAATCTTTTAAGGGTAGATGTCATCTTATTTATGTTTTACTATGAAAAAAGATAGTAAAGGAATGTTTGCGACCTTGACCTTGTTAAAATGACCTTACGTCACACCATGACACACGCTGGTGATAAGCAAAGCCATTTGTGTGCTACCGTATTGACGAATTCTTAAGCTATATTTTTTTCGATAGGCTTTGTCACAGCTAATACGTGTATATATGTGTAAATCTAGGTATGAAAGTGTTATCCTTTCTGTATCAAAAGTCATGGTCAATTTTAAGCAATGTTTAAAGCCGGTTAAACTTCAAGGTCAAAGTTCATTATATGCTAGTATTTGAAATGATTTTATCACAGGTCACATACATTTGATTTTTGTGTAATACGAAAACCCTATCTCTTCTCATTCAAAAGTTATGATCAAGATTAAAATTGTGAAAAGTAAGTCAAGCCTCAAGCTCACATTGTCAAAATCAGCGTATCGGTATTTAAAAAAATGTCACAGGTAATACACAGTGGTAAAATAAAAGCCCTAATCGATCTCTTTTCTCTCAAAAGGTATAACTATGGTTAATGTTTTTGAAAAGTGGGTCAAACTTCAAGGTCAAAGGGTCAAAAATCATAATGAATTTTCAAAGGCGTTGACACAGGTATTACATGTACATGTTTATAAAATGAAGTTTTCAATAGTTATGGTCAAATTAAAGTATTGTTATTTTTTAAGTAGGTCAAGCTCCAAGATCAAGGTCACGGGGTTAAAAATCACAGTATATTTGAAAATTACATGTCACAAATAATGCACATGTGAAATATGAAAGTCCTATTTCAACTCATTCAATAGTTATTATCAAGTTTAAAGTTCTCGTGACAGATGGGCACTGTCAGACTGGTTGACAAATAAGGTTTAATGTGTCCTAATAAAAATAAATACACGTTATTTAAACATGATGAATTGAGAAATACGAAGAGTAAAAAACTAGAAAATATTAGAAAAATATTGCACTGAAGCTATATTCAAATCCGTGTTTTTCAACTGCTTGAATCTAAAAATATTATTTACCGTGTGTCTCTAACACATTCCTTAAACTTTTCTACAGTTAGACATTCCTTACAACCGTTTTTAATTGTCCTTCTGAGCCTGAACTTGAGATAATATGGATGGCACTGTAGCTCTCTGGTGATCCATCTCAATTTTTTTTTAGAACAGCTAGCGAGCTACAGATCTGCAGCATGACAATTGTCATAAAGTTAACTTTACAAATTCATTTGATATGTAACAGAATTGAATTTTATGAAAAGAATTATTTCTAATGCTTATTTTTACATATGCTAAAATTATTTACCTATCAAGTAAAGTTAAGACAGTAAAAAGGACATTGATACTCAGTATTTATCTAAGGAGTTAGTGTCAATCCTCAACCTCAAAGAGCGTTCGACTTGTATGATAATTGCGTATGTGTGATGAAACTGCCGTGAACTATCCCGGTCATGAACATTAGATGTACCGGACATTCCGTCTTCAAGAAAATATAGTTCTACTCTGGACTACTCCGAGTTACCTAAACGTTTGTATGTATGTCCATGTGTGAGCGTTTCAACCTGTCTTTGTTTTATGTGACTTGACTTGATTTATTTTTCAAAATACAAACTTTAACGTTTTATTGCTTGACTTCTTTCGTTTTATAAATCACTTGTGTTACTGTCACCAATTATATTCTATTAACTTTGTTTAATTGTCAGAAATGCAATGCAAAATTCAGGATATCAAATGCAGCGAAAACTGGTAAACCCCCCCCCCCCCCCCAAAAAAAAAATAGTACATATAGTACATGTACACACTTCGATGCTCGATTGTACACCCCAGAAATTAAAAAGTTTATGAATAAAAAAGTTTAGTTAGGCATACTCATCTTTGCCGACCTTTTCTGAAATTTATTTGACAACCTGCGAATTAACAATATCGTGTATAATTTTTTGGTTAATATTATAATAGGCTATGGAGTAATCATGGATTTCACCACCAGCCCTGGCCTGCCATTCTCGACTCTGAAGGAAAGCATTGTATCATTTCAGGGGGGGGGGGGGGTTACGTATCGCAGTGAGAGGAAATTTAATAATTTAATCTCTTTTAGTCCAATAAACACGAAAGAAAGGCTTGGAATATTTGTATGAAATTACAGGAAGAAATTTTGCATTTGTTAGAAGAATTTCTAATTATTTTTTTTTTCTCGTATTCTTAAAGCTCATGTTTGGTGCTCTTCTGTGTAAAACAGCATGTAGTTTAGTTAATATTATGTACATGCACATAAAATCGTGTCATTGTGATATTCTAGCTTTTTTATTTGAGGAAATCAAAGAAATTTATGAGCATATCATGCGGAAAAATACACTGATAAGTTATGTAGCAAATTATGCAAAACTCAAAGTTACTTAATTTTATTTTCGATTTTCATGAGAATTGAAAACGTCACTTCCAGTTACAATTTACTGTGTGCATTTGTCATGTTTAATTGTAATTGCTACTTTTAACAACATCGCAATTTTTTCTGAAATAAATTAAGCAACAATTAGAATAACTTGATATGGGCCCGTATACATATAACGATTGCTATTACTTCAAAGTTGAGAGGGAGACGACGGCGCCTAAAAATGTGTACCTTTCCAATAATATAGAATCATCCGTTCAAATTAAAAACAATTAAGTTGCAGTAGTGATATCCCCGATTCTTTAAATAACGAAACTATAATGGACTTCACAAGGGTAAAGTTCAACATTAATTTATGTACATGTGCAATTACAATCTCTATCAAAATTGGCAGAGTTATCGATAGGTCATCCTGCGTCACCTTTCAGTGTAACCAATGGACTCGTCCAGAGAAATCATCTGTACCTGAGCAAAATCGCAGCGCCTTTTGAATCAGACATTTTATCTTTTAATACTCGTACATGTTCAAGAAAACCTTTATATTTGTGTCTGTAATATTCTTACGATTTACGCAAATAACAAATTCTTGATTTTAAACTGAGTAAATCGATGACTAGCATCGTTTTAGATAACTATAGGACTCGCGTAAAAATCAAAGAGCGGTAATGCTGACCTCCGGAATGTATATAGGTCAATGCATGTGCGATCGATAAACAGGTTGCACAACTGGTAAACAAAGCAGTCAAGGTCCGAGGAAAATTCACGATGCCTGAATAAAATGACAGTGAATTATTTTAAGCTTATCTTTTCTTTTATTTATAAATAATGCAACATTGAGTATCAATCGAATGAGAGATTGTAATTCAAACTAAATACAAGGAGAAAGTTGTCTCTGAATAATCTGTATGACATCCAGCTAGAGAATACGTTAAAAACTGTATTTCAACAAAGTTTAACATTCAGTTTAGTTAAGTATATATTTTTATCCAGTTTATTTCAGCTATACGTGTTATACACGTACGCATAAAGAATTCTTCACTTGCCGTATAAAACTAGTCAGTTACCTGTACATAAAGTTTGCTGCTCATTCAATAACACAAGATTCGAACAAAATAATGTTTTCATGAGATCAGTAAGATGTTAAAGAACCCATTTCAAATCAATAACCATATCGAAATATTTACCGTTTTTGAGTTATAAAGCAAAAACTTTCGAGCGCCCTTGGCCCCTAATTTGAGGTGCCAGCCCCTTTTTAATAATGTCAAATGATAGATCTTAAAATTATGCACAATATTTGTGAAATATGTCTTAACAAATTATTTTTAGTTTAAAAGATATACAAGGAAATATATGTAAAATTTGGCGCTTTTGGGCGTTATCATTTTCGACCCCTATTTAGCACCGTTTGGAGCGCAGAAATCGAAAAAGAAAAACCGATAGGCACAACTTCAATTCTTCTAGTATTTAAATGCAGTAGACATTCTGCTCCAGCTTTTGTCGTTTCTGAGCCTTTGTCTGGAAACGAACAGTACCAAATTTTCACTTAAAGGGAAATAACTCGAAAGCGGAAGGGAATTTTTGAAATGTATGAAAACATTTTAATTGAGTTTTGTAACGTTCAAAAACTCTGAAAATTTGAGCGAAATCCGTTCAGAAATGAGCGAGTTACGAGGTCTCAAAGTTGGCGTCTAGGAAAAAAAAAAAGAATAATAGGGAATAATCTTAACCATCAGAATCAGTAGAAGGTCTTCCGCCTGAGCGGAAGACCTTAATAATCCAGAAAATTCAGATAGACTTGTTCTAAAGCAAAACAAACACACAATATATTCTCAGTCCGTGCAGTTGTGGTGAACAGACTTTGGCGACTTAACGCACCCGATGAATCATGAACACCAAACAATAAAATGTTTACGAAAACCTGTGTACATAACACGAGTGTGATCGATTCGCAAAACTCTGTACACAACGGAATGAGGATACTTGTGAAGTAGTTATGCTTTCTAACATTTCAACTCTGAATAAAATTGTTTTTCTTGATTTAAGTTTTAATATTTTCCATTAATGCACATCAGGATTGCCACTTTTCAAAAGGACTAGGAATAAAGTTAAGACTTGTGAAAGTTCAAGGATGTGTCAATCAAACCCACCAAAAAATTTAAAGTTTTAATAACGTTTAAATGAAAGAAGACTTTTAATTAATTTTTGTGTGAAATGCTATTAAAATATATACTTCGTGATATTATACAGAAATAAACAGAAAATATCAACTTCAAATCTGTGTCCAAGTACCTTTAATTACTTTTAGCATTACAGCATGTTTTGCACCTAGCTTGGTGCAAATGTTGGTAGAGAGAGCCCAATGGCAATTAAAAAATAATTAAGTTAAACAATCCCCAAATACATTACATCAGCAAAATTTAATGGATGGTACTAAAAATTACAGTCAGATGTCTCTTCAAAATGGAGATAATGTCTCAAGCGGTTTGAAGTCTAAGGAGTCCAATAAAAGGTGAAAGTGCAAGACTGCACTAATCAGAAAACACAGGATTACTACGAAGTTTAACACAAAATATATATAGCTTTGATAAGATTTAATGGATATATTAGATAAATATTAATTACATTGTTTTTCATTTAAAGTCAGCACATCTCATGCTTCTGCTTCGTTGTGCTACACACAACATCATGTGACGACAGTCTAAACACACTAAATGCAACGTGCGGTTTGACAAGCCTGATCTAAATTACAACTGAAAAGTAAATGCACTTGCCCTAACAGTCGCACCGTCAAGTTATTAGGGAAATTATTGAAATAAAAATAGGTGGAGGGGAAATAACCCTAAAATGTCAACTTAAAATATTCAAAAGTTCTTACAATTAGGAAAATAACAAGGGGGGGGGGGGGGTGGTAATGTCAGCCAGTGTCAGGATGTAAAGAGTGACCCTGTATACACACCTGATCCGTGACTCTAGTCCATCGCCGATACTGCTGTATCTCCCCTCACTCCGAGGTTTTCTGTTCTGCTTCACACTGAACGCTCCCCCTCCCAGCGACTCCGAGTCGAGTCCTGCGCTAACGTCATGACGCACGCTACTTTGTGCGCCAAACTTGTTTCTGCTTTCAAATTCAAGGCCTACATCGCTTATCTGTAGGAAATTAGTGGACATTGTAGAAAGAAAGGTGATTTGAGGGGAAATCACGTCTTTTTCGACACATGGCGTCCAATATTTTTGTAAATATTTGTATCTTCGATTACATATATAATTCTGCGCATGCGTTGAATGTCATAGATGGGTTTAAAGTCGCAAACTCGGATAATTTTGGAAAAAATAATTCTATGTGGAAATAATTATTTGAAAAGTATGTCAGTATTGTCCTCATTTCATTTATTTTGTTGTTAATTTATAAGGTATTTTATTGATAGATAGCTTCATTTACTTGTCCTGATCTTTTTCAATAGTGCACATTTGGAGCGATTTCAACTTCATCCGATGTTGACCCATTTATTCTAATGTGATTATGGTAAAATATTGACTTTGTTTACGACTTTCATTATTAGTCGTAAAGTAGATTGTAATCATGTCAGAAGCACAGTCAAGAAATAATTCTGTAAGCCGAGGATAATTTAAAGTCGCTTTATCGAGTCAAAAGCTTACTTGCTTGTGTTTTAATTTATTTTTATGGAATTTTCATTTTTTAACCATTAAGGGCTTGGAAGATATTGCAGGAAAAAAGGAAATTTATCAGTTGCTACGAACGCTTCAAACCACAGGCACGCCACCTGAAGTATGATAATAACCCTCCCTTTTTTGTTAATGGAAAAAAATGTAAGAGTGTATAATATCTCAAAAATATAAAATTTCCCCGTCAAACACATCTCTTTGTCGTTATATGCAAGCAGAATGTATATCTCAAAAATATAAAATTTCCCCGTCAAACACATCTCTATGTCGTTATATGCAAGCAGATTGTACTTTTTCTCACGTTTAAAGAATGGCCCTATTCGGTATAATAAAAATACACAAGGTAAGAAACAAACGTAAACAAACGGGGGGACCCCTACTTCGAGACAGATTTCCAAAGTAATAACAGTGTTACCAGGGACCTATATACTAACCTGGTGTTACCTATCATAATTTTGCAAGCACTCTGTCAGGGAGATATGTTCTTCTATTAGTCACTATAACCTAAACCCCGCTATTAGTGTTTTATATGCCATAATCCGACGATTTATTAATCGGATACATAAAATTTTCTCCATTGGCAGTGTTGGAGGAGGTTTTGGAGTTGCTTTTCTGTTTCGCCTTATCTGATTGGTTCATTGTAATACAGGTTAAATATCTAACCAATCAGATAAGGCAAAACAGAAAAGCAACTCCAAAACCTCCTCCAACGCTGCCAATGGAGAAAATTTTATGTATCCGATTAAAAAATCGTCCGATTATGGCAAATAAAACGCAAATAGCAGGGTTTAGGTTATAGAGACTAATAGAAGAACATCTCCCTGACAGAGTGCTTGCAAAATTATGATAGGTAACACTGTTATTACTTTGGAAATCTGTCTCGAAATAGGGGTCCCCCCGTTTGTTTCTTACCTTGTGTATTTTTATTATACCAAATAGGGCCATTCTTTAAACGTGAGAAAAAGTACAATCTGCGTGCATATAACGACATATAGATGTGTTTGACGGGGAAATTTTTTATATTTTTGAGGTATTATACACTCTTACATTTTTTTTCATTAACAAAAAAAAAAGGGGGGGTATTATCCATACTTCAGGTGCCTTAATCTCAGCGAGATGTCGTAGGGACTAAAATATTTGGTCGGACGTCCACTACGACATCTCAGACAGGTGCCATACAACGTGATTCGGGCTTTTTTGCTTCGACTTCGGCAGCTCGTTTCAATAAATACAGACTGAAATAAATTATCTGCCCACCTCAATTTTTTCCTTTGAACATCCCTTAAAGTGTCTATCACTATAAAACTTTCCTTTCTTACCTTTAAAAGGTTTAAATCCAGTAAAATATAAAGTTGTTTATTTTTCCTGACAGCATAATGGCTGTTTGCTATTCATTTAAACCTTCGATTTTGAAGAGTTCCACAATAATCTGTTTCCAATAATTCATACTACTACTATTTCTTATAAGAATGATCTATAGTACAAATTATTGGAAACAAATTATTGTGGAACTCTTCAAAATCGAAGGTTTAAATGAATAGCAAACAGCCATTATGCTGTCAGGAAAAATAAACAACTTTATATTTTACTGGATTTAAACCTTTTAAAGGTAAGAAAGGAAAGTTTTATAGTGATAGACACTTTAAGGGATGTTCAAAGGAAAAAATTGAGGTGGGCAGATAATTTATTTCAGTCTGTATTTATTGAAATGAGCTGCCGAAGTCGAAGCAAAAAAGCCCGAATCACGTTGTATGGCACCTGTCTGAGATGTCGTAGTGGACGTCCGACCAAATATTTTAGTCCCTACGACATCTCGCTGAGATTACAGGTGCCTGTGCTTCAAACTCAGTCTACCAAACTGCTACTTCCCATCCCTTCTTTTGTAGAATCTGAATGCAGAATAGAATATTTATTTCCCTCTCTAATCATATAAAGCCAGTACCATTGTAATGTGATGTAGTCACCTATCCAAGGGATACACAGGAGCTATAGCCATTGTTTAACTTGCAGGATCGAGGCACTATATGGTTGATTAATATGTAATTGAGTTATCTTGACCAGGAATTGAGCAAAGAATTTCCTGTATGTCTCATTGTTTTCAAGATCCCTCAGGCTATTTTCCATTTCCCAGTGGCATTTTCTTCCAAACTTTTTTACTGCAATAACAGGGCGCCCTGGAGACAGTACTGTATACAGGGAAATTTTCGCCCCAGTTTTATTTTTGCCCCTTTTGCCCTTGTCACAAGTGGGCGAATTCGAAGAACACAGTATAAATTCTTAAACAAAACTGGGACTGCTCATGGGCGAATTTAAAACAGGGCAAATTTGTAAGCAAGTGTAAGAGGTCGAAAATAACACCGGGCGAAAATAACCCTGTATACAGTATATGATCCTTATTTACTGTCCACTGATTTTGAAGAGTACATTGATTGAAAAGGTGTTACTTTGAAAATACACGGAACAAGTTCTATTATTAAACCAGGACCAAAGGACAATATCATTTTAATGATAGAATGTTCTAATAAATATGATAAGCAATGGTGCCTCTTTCAAAATTGTGAATTTCATGGCCTCTAGTTTAAAACACAGAGTGACCAAATTCATAATCTACGAATCTCCCTGAGATTATACAATATTGGCATAGTGACACGGGTGCTTCATACAAGTCCATATCTTCACACAAAGTCCTACATCAGTACATGTACCCTCAGATCAGCCTAAATCAGTGTCTATTATAAGACTGCTTTCAGAGTTTCTGTGTTACCATAGCCACATTTTTAGGCAAATGTAAAATGACTGTTACATTTTTCTATTTTTAGGCAAAACAAGTCAGACCTTTGTCAGGGAGACAGTCTTCCCAGGGCATAAAGAACACAAATGTTCCATCCAGGGGAGGGTCCGGGAATTTGTCTGCTTCCAGGGGTGGATCTGGTGTCAGAGATTTGGCCAGCAAAGAAGAGGAATACAAGTAAAAATTTTACACAGATCAGACATTGATCAATTGATAATTTAGTAAAAGTGATATCTTTATTCATTTTCTTTAATAAATATAACCTTGATTTATTATATGTTTCCCTTTAACCTGAAACATGTCCTTTCAAAACATACTGCTGTCAATTTTGAAAAAAATACTCAATCAGGGATTGTAAACTAGTTACATAGATGTATTGTTGGTTTTTGTTTTAAACACTAAATGCATAAACTTGTAGGGATGTTGTTATTTGAATGTTGCATTAACTTGTTTGACTTTTTCAGGAAGTTAAATGCTGAGTTAGAGGCAAAGACAGCTAACCTTGTAGCAGAGGCGGAGGAAGTCTTGGTGAGTGGCTGGTTCTGATATTTATTGGTAAACAAGACACTGTTGGGTGTTTAGTTGATAGCAGTCATTCCTCGGAGACCATTGCCCTTTGTATGAGCAATTATTAAGAAATCACTAAATTTTGTGTGGGGTTTAATTTAATTTTTGCTGTTTTCACTCAACACTTCTGCAACCATGATTTCAAATTCCCACATATCAGCAATTTCATCTCAAACCACAAACGTTTACTCCCAGAAAAATATGTGATTTTACAGTATTCAAAATCCTATCACTCCACAATTCTTGTAGCTTACCTGAATATCAGTTCATCCAAAAAAAAAATAAATGAATTTATCGAAATGTTTCCTATAAATTTGTCTCCTAGGCTGAATTTTTTCTGGTCTCGTGCTTAACGCAGACAGACATTTCTCAATCTGATTGTAAGATCAAGTAAATGTTTAATTTATCTTTAAGTTTTTTTCTGAATTTTATTTTAGCGAGAACAGGAATCTGTTTTGTCAAAGTCTCGTCTCCTTGACAACATCAACTCAGAGGAATTCCTCAAGTAAGCATCAGATTTAAGTTCTTATTGTCATTGGCACAAAGTGTATGATTTCAGTTCTTATTGTCATTGGAAAAAGGAGCAGATTTTCTGGTATTATTGTACTTTGTAGAAAAATGCTTAAAGGGAGATAACTTGTTATTTTATCAGTAAATTTGTTTTTCCCACAAGAATTTTAGCACACAATCTTTGATATAATTAAAATACTAATTGCATTTCTGTTTATTTGTCAGAAACATGATATTTAAAATAATTTTTTTTTTATTTGTTTAAAGAAAACCTCAGTCTGTAAATGCTAAACATTTTTTTCTTTTTGACAGAGAATTTGATGAAGACATAACAGGCCCAAATGAAAACACAGAATCAACAGCCAAAGTAAGGACTGTCTCCTCAATTTTATATCCTAACATTTTATGCTTACAATAAAACTGATGTTCTGTGTCTGGTTGTACAGACAATTTAATGAAGTCAACAGGGGGACATTGCAATGTAGAATTTCAGATGTCATATTATGAACACCGAGGGTGGTTTTTATTTGTTTTAGAGAATGTTAAATGTAAATTGATCCTTTTCATTGCGCAATTTCATACAAATATAGTGAAACATGCTATTAGAAATTCACTTAATATAAAGAATTTACACTTGCAGCAAAGTGATTTTCATTCCTCATGGCTTTAAAATACACTGAGAAA